GTATGGAAGCCATTGAGATGGTCTATTTCTATAGTTACTGTGAACTCCAACAATAAAGAAAGTGAATTTGAGGAGCATATAAACACATTAAGCCTAACTGAAACTTAGACACATATCTAAAAATACAAACCAACTCAATACCTCTGGATTTTCATAAAATCAATCACATGGATCATAGCATAAGAACTTTTAGACTTCTTGCCCTCTCTCCCCCACCCCACCACCACCAAAAAACAAAAACAAAAACAAAAAACCTCTCCTTCCTCTCCATAACCCAGAGATCGTCCAGAAACCCTGTCTGCTCTTATTTCATGGATCACCTCAAGTCCCAACTCTTCAAAAAGGGCACCAACTGGCCACTTGTAGCCGCTTAGTACCCATTAACTCCATCATCTGATGTCTATTTCTTGCACAACCTCCTTCTAAACATATAAATTGCCTTTGTATTGTACAGGCCAGTACTTTACTAAATCTTAAAACATATCAATTCCAGAAGCATCCAAAACAATCAACAGAAGATTCTACTCACACCACCAGCATAACCCCAAATGCTCCATAGAAAAGTTAGCAGGAATTTCATGGCTGTCACTGAAACATGTCTGGCTGCAGGCAAGACAGGTTTTCGGAGCAACCAGCACCTGTGGTTCTTAGGCAGCTTGGAAGTTGTGGTTCTCTGATGGGGCATTGGGCAAAGAGCTCCAGAAGTATGAAGGCAGCCATCCTAAAGAAGTGCAGCCAATCTGAAATGAAAAACACAGCAGAGAAGGACAGGGAACCTAGTAAAAGGGATTTTCCTTGTATTTGCACAGACAAAACATCAACAGTATTCATAAGAGGAGTGTCAAATACAACCTAAGTTTACATATCACCACATATTAGTCAGTGGGATAATTAGAAAAATCACCATATCCACATTAGACCAGAATGTATTCACTGAAGCTCAGAGATTGTATACAATCCACCTGATATAGCTAAGTTGGGAATTTTTAATAAATTATGTTCAATTACTATGTGATAACCACATATGGACTGGAATGTTACAGAATGGTGTTAGCACAGAGATCCTTTATCTCACTAGTAACTGTCATCATCACTGTCACTTTTCCAGGACCAACCCTATTATGGTTGATAATTTTCTCAGAGGCATGTCTTTTCCTCAAAAGCAGTATCACATCAAAGACAACAAACCACATCTGCTGACTCACATATGGGAAGAAAGTATGGCCACCTGTCTTCAGAGAAAGTTGCTACATTCAAATCCCGTTTTCCTAAACCAAGAAAACTTGTACACTACAGTGCTTTGCAATAGTTTTGGCAAACACAGTATTATTATCTAAGGCAGAACTGAATCTATTGATAAATGCAATCAATTTTATTTTGTTGGTTATTTTAAAGATTTATTTATTTATTTGAAAAATCAGAGTTACACAGAGAAAGGGAGAGACAGAGATCTTACCTCCCAAGTGGCTGGAACAGTCATTGTTGAACCAGGTTGAAAGTAACAGTCAGCATCTTCTTCCAGGTCTCCCAGGTGGGTAGCATGCATCCAAACACTAGGTCCATCTCCTACTGGTTTTCCCAGACCATTCAAAGGAAGCTGGACCTGAAGTGGAGAAGTAGACACAAAAACCAGCACCCATATGGAATGCAAGCATTGCAGGCAATAGCTTTGCCTGCTATGCCACAAGGCAAGTCCCAATTTCATTAAAAAAAAAAAAGAATTAGAAGAAAGGAGAAAAACAGAAAATTTTCAACCAATGTTTTATTGTCCTTAAAATTGTTGTCGACATAGTTTCACAAGTAGAGAAAGAAAAATCAAACTGTCGTACAATGCCTATTTAGTTAGAAAACAAATGATCTATGAACATTTTTCTTCAAACCAGTGGTGTACTGGCCACTGGCAATGAGAATGCTATTATACAAAATGATCAAATATACTTGCACAATTTAATATGCAACTGAAGCATTACATTAAAAAAATTATGGAAGAAGTCTATCAACTGTTAAGTGATTATAGAAACTACTAAGTGAATAAATGCATTTAGAAATGGGGTAATCTAAGGAGTGAAGGCTAATCCAAAGGCCTGGAGCCCAAAGCACAGGTCAGTGTTTCTTTCCTGGAACTGGGGTACTTGACAAGCAATTTCAGGGCTCTCTGCTTCTCTGGCACAAGCACAATCTGTCTGGCAAGCTACAGTTCCTAGTTGCTTCTCTGTGATGCTCCAGGGCTAAATAAGATAAAAATTTATGTGCTATGCTTTAAGCTCCATTGAGGCAAGCCACTAAATAAACTTTGGGATAATTTATGAATCCTGAGCTTGCATTAGTCATGCCTAGGTCCATTTTATAAAAGGAAATAAATGGAAATAGGATGTTAAGGCTGAATGCTTGGTGAAAAGCTCAACAAAGTTTGGGCAATGGTGATAACAACACATCACTCACTCCACTATATGCATAGAATCCTTGACTTACCCAGTAGATTCTCCCAAAAAACCTAATTTGTGCCACTGCCCCATTGGCAGACCATCTGGTATATGAAACAGAGAGGTATGTTTTGCAATTCTAGTCTGAGATCCAATATCCAATTTCTTTTTAATTCACCCTAATTGTTTTTGTAAAACTTCATGTGTCTACTCCAGTCAATATGCTTAACAAAGACTGCCAGAGTCCTGCTTTCTCTTCAGAGCCATATCTGTAGGTCAGCTTCTCCTACCTGCTTTCTCTTCGTTTCCAGTTGCATTTTAGAGACATTTAATCATTGTCTGTTTCTTATATAGCAATTTGTATTGAAGAGACAATGAGACAGTAATCTGAAGAGTTAAACACAGTGTAAATTAGGGAATCCAACTTTTCCAGAAAATTATTCTTATCATTATTGATGAGTTGGCATGTTGCTTTTGGTTTGCTTTAAGAAAGGTCACCCTATTTACAACTTTTGGTATAGCACAGTTACATTAAATAAAGCAAAACAGAATGAACTATTACCCAGAAAATGTGAGGGATCCAACCACTCTTCCTAAACCAACAAGTGACTTAGTGATTCCCATTTCCAAAGTTGTGGTTCTATGCTTTATTGAACACTTTCTCTGACCTGCAGGAATGTGCTTATGTGGAGCTTAAAGAGGAAAGCACTAGTCATAGAGACACAACAAACCTCAGCTGATTTTTAAATGCCCAAGTGCAGACATAAACCAAGAATATCTTTACATTTCTAAACCAAATCAAAAGGCTCACTCCAGATAAAAAGCACTTACATTTCCCGCACCCCTAACCTAACACTGCTTGTTTTCAGAAATATAAACTAAGGTCACATTAAGCCATAGTTAAGAGGAGGAAAGGTAACTGCCCTTCAGAAGTTTATCCATTTGAAGAGGAGGAAGTCAAGGAGAAAATCACTCTCCTCTATCTAATGCAGTGTAATTGTTCTCATGATGGTGCCCCTCCATTTTTCTCCCTTCACAAGTTCCCATGGTTACAGAAGGACACGGCACACACTTATGTTTTAAAAAATTAGAAAGATGACAGGAGACAGGGATGCCAACTAACCTCTTGTGGTTACAAAATAAATTTGTCATTTTGCTCTTGAGACACTGAACTAGCCCACTTAACCCAGACGTTGGAGGAATGCCTATTTTAAGTAACAGGTAACTGCTTTAATGCCAATATCATTTTGTCATGCATACATCCACATAAAGAGATACAGGAGGTCACTTCAAATGGGGAAGCTCTAAGGGCCAAAGACATGGTACTACTCTCTTCTTGCAAGCTTTTCAGAAAACTTACAGTGAAAATTATGTTCCTTTGGCCTATGCAAGGAACTTATAAATAAATCAATATCCTAAAATATCATTAATCAAAAAGCTTTTCACAAAAGCTTTACTAAGAAAGCTTCCATTAACTAAGAAAAAAAATAGAAACAGAATGTTTTATTTGTTTTATTGTCCTCAATGTTTTATTTGTTCTTCGCACTAAAGGGAAATGAAAGCTATATGTCCCTAGTGGAGAATAAAACTGTTCTAAAGTTCTCCTCTTCAGGCCTGTTCACTTCTGAATCAGGGGCATGCACAGAAGTGCCAAGTAGTGAAACAAAATGGTATTAAGATATAGAAAAATGTTCAGCAGACAACCACAGGGGTTCACAGACTTGGATAACAATTGTAAAGGTTATGTCTCCTACTTTCCCTGTTGTATGATCAGGAGCTTTTACTGCTGCTGAGAATGAACAATATAGTCCTCTTCTATTTATATACTCAACCCCTCTGCCTAGCAATCCTTCTACTAGATTTCTGCATGCTGATTTGAACAGGGCAATCAGCTACATCAGACTCAAGTTGTGAGGAACCTTTTCATTTCAATCAACTCCAAATACAAAGGCAAGAACTTCAGCAAATATTTCAAGTTATAGATCCAACATATTCCCCATTTAATACCTTAGCATTGATAAATGCTGTGGGGCTGGTATCACAGCGTACTAGGCTAAGCTTTTACATATGGTGCTGGCATCCCATTTGGACACTGGTTCAAGTCAGGGCTACTCCATTTCTAATGCAGCTCCCTGCTTATTGCCTGGGAAAGCAGAGGAGGATGGCTCAAGTCCTTGGGCATCTGCACCCACATGGATGATCTGGAGGAAGCACCTAGCTTCAGACTGGCTCAGCTACAGCTATTTTGATTATTTGGGGAGTGAACCAGTGGATGAAAGACCTTACTCTCTGTCTCTCCTCTTTATGACCCTATCTTTCCAATAAAAACAAATCCGTAAAAAAGAGAAAGTGCTGTGTAATAATTATCTCTAAAATCTCCCACCACTTTCCACAAAGAAGCAAGACCTCCCAGGTATCTGTGCACACATCTTCACCACTGAGAGTTACAAGTTTAACAAAGTGAATTTACATGGATACACTCTTCTTGGGACTCCTGCAGAACTATGGATTGAAATGATATGGACCACTTAGCTGTGACTAACACACTACAGTGAACAACCCAGCAGGTAGCATTTGAACAAAAGTTGTCTAGGGATTTTTTTGTTGTTGTTGCTTTGGTTTTCTAAAGAAGCAAACGTGGTTCATTTAATCTATTCCATTTTTTTAAAGCCCTACAACTTTGAACAGATCTAACCAAATAGTGAGAATGCATTAAAATGAAAGTCCTTAGGGGAACACAGGCCTAAAGCCATGTACGATGAGTGTCCAGCACCACTTCTGCTTCCACTGTGCGATGGCTCTCTCAGAGTGGCAGAAACCAGCATTGCCGCTACCAGAGCCGGCAGGAGTCCATGCCTCTGTTCATTGTGGAATTGGGTGGACAGTTAAAAGCTTTCTGGAATTCTTCAAAGTTACTAATTGCACCATTAACCCTGAAAAAAAAAAGAGCAGAGCACATGTCATTGAATTCTTCTACATCAACACGCTCTGGATAAAATTGTAGCAGTATATTTCTAGAAGGGTCACCGAAGAGGTTTATAAAAAACCCACATGGTAGAGTTCCAAAGAAATGAACAAAGCTAAGACTTGAACCATCATTTACCCAGTCCCAGGCAAATAAATGTCTACTGAATTTCAACACTCTTCAAATCCTTGTAAAATGGTATCATTGCCAATATTTTGTTTATTTAATTTCCTAAACATTTATGAAAAAGTGTAATTGGCACAAAACGCACCAATCTTAAATGTAGACATCACTTTCTGACATGTGTCTGTAGAGCCATGTTACTCCAGCTAGACAGAGACATGGATGTTTTCAGAAAGCTTTCTTCTGTGCACTACCGATAGCACCTCCAGATCACCAGTACTCTGGCCTCTATCTGGAACCTGTGATGTACAGTCTTTCATCTTTGACTTTCTTCATAAACCGTCATTTATGTTGTTGCATTTCTGTTAGTTATTTTCAAGTTTATAAATAAGCTCCATTGGGTATTAATTAAAACACAATGGCAGGTAGAAAAAAATAATAATTACAAAAAAAAATTAAGGAAATAAAAAAACAGGGTCCAGCGTGCTGGCTAGTGGCTAAAGTCCTCGCCTTGAATGCACTGGGATCCCATATGGGCACCAGTGCTAATCCCGGCAGCCCCACTTTCCATCCAGCTCCCTGCCTGTGGCCTGAGAAAGCAGTGGAGTACGGCCCAAAGCCTTGCGACCCTGCACCCATGTGGGAGACCTGGAGGAACTTCTTGGCTCCTGGCTTCAGATCGGTGCAGTACCAGCCGTTGCACTCACTTGGGGAGTGAATCAATGGATAGAAGATCTTCCTCTCTGTCTCTCCTCCTCTGTGTATATCTGACTTTGCAATAAAAAATAAATAAAACTTTTTTAAAAACCAGAATTCCTTCAATCTGCAAAAACATTTTCTCCAAATTCCTATTGGCTTTGGAGACTCATGTTTAACTGGGAATTGGCTAGCACAAATAGCTAATGGATACTATCTACATGCCACAAATGAGTAATCCTTCACTGGAATTAGGTCCAACAATCTGGTGTTCTTACAAGTTTCCAATTCAGTAAAGACCATGAATTCCTACTGAGCACTTTGATTGTGACTGCCTTCTGGAAGTAGTATTTCCATTGTGTTATTTCTGCTGCACTTAAAATCGATAGTTACTGCAGACACCAGTAATAAGCCAGGCAAAGAAACTCTCTCTTCATTTACTTCTTACCCAACCACATGTTCAGAAGGTTGGATATAGACTCAGTGTCCCCAGTCACTGACCATTTCCTCCCTAATGACTTTGTTACCTATGGGCATAGAACAAATGTAACATCTTGACATCCGAAAGAATCTTCCTAACCTCTTGTGTTTTAATGAGATGTACAACTAGGCATGCATATTTCATAGTGAGATTCACCCTAGGCAAGTGATAAAGATAGAATATTGCTGATAATTAGTAAATATATTCTGTCAGTTATCCGCTAAACTTCAACATTATAGGCAACTAGTTAGTAAGAGGAAATTTGACACTAAAAACTTATCTGTTGCACAATTAATCCATTCTGTGGCTTCATCCACACCAATTGTCAGTGGGAGCACATTTTAGTCCATTAGAGACTGTCAGTTTTCATGACAGTTTAGCCCAGTGGGGGAGAATTTCCAACATAGTGATTAGATTTTTGTACTGGTGGGTAATTTATAGTCAATTTCCGAAGCACTTCTAAGGCAAGGTTTTGGAATAAGATTTTTAAATGCTCACACAGGAAAAAAATCATAGATGCCTTTCCTGAAATGTGTTAATGGTTTGTTCAAATATTAAGTATACGGATATGCAGGTAATATAATATGTTCTGGGAAAAGAATGATTACAAATTGTTATGGTTTCTTCAATTTAGCAATATACTTAAATGTCCTCAACTATAGACAGTTTCTCTCAAACTACAGACCTAGCATAGACTAATATTAACTTTAGCTTTATTTTTACTTAATGTTTTGTGTTGTGATAATGAGATTAATTAATAAATTTCTCCACACAAATAAGCAACTATCTCATGCTAAAAGCTAAACTATAGTGACTGATTCTAAAAGTGAGTTAGAAGTGCTAAATAAAAACCATATAGCTTCCTTTGTTTTTGAAGCAATTCCAGAAAGTAGGCATCTATACATGTTGGTTGACTACACAAGAAAAAAAATGCACTAAAAAACATACTCTTTAACACAAAACCAGCCACAATAAAGTGAATACATGGGTTTACTGAATACATGTGGTGGTCCTGGCACTCATAAATTGCTCTCTCAAAAACTGGAAATTAGTAAGTGGTATCCATTATTAAAAGTGTGATTTGGATTCTAAATGAACTTTACTGTCCAGTAGTCTCCTGGATTTCTTGATATCACACTACACTAGAGGTACATACAAGTACCCATTAGCAGAGGTTGAGTTGGGAGGACACTGACTAAATAAGTTTACTACTACTATTAAAGAAAAAAATACATTATTTCTGATTAGCCAGATTTTTTCCCTGATACTGGAGACAGATTCACAATACAGGATTTTGTTCAGATCACATACCTAGTCATATACAGGAATGGCAAATCTGGGAGGAGGAGGGGGCATGACATGCAAGGTGAAAAATAAATGTCACCCATTTACCTAAACTGAGGTGGGCTGTGAGCACCAATTTGGATTTGTTCCCTGGCAGCCTCTGGCCTGTAGGAATTGCACCTCACCTAGAAGAAGAAAAGCATTCCAATAAATATGCTTCCATTCCAATAACACACTTTCAACTGTCTTAACTGCTCCAAATTATCCAGAAGAATAATTTCAGAATCAATGGATAATAAATAGTTTTAGTAAATCAGATAAAACCTTCATTAGAAGCAACATCTATTGTTCTAATTCCTGGAGTAGAACGTTTTATCAATATGAATAATTCTACAATTTTAGTAAATTAGGAACGTTTCCAGATAAGTGCTTTAAATCAACAGAATTGCATATGTGCCCGGGCATGAATCGACCAATGTATTCATCCAATTAATTTAATGCTTGAAATAGCCCTTATCAAATTTAGTCAGACTCATTCAAGTCAATGAAATGAATCAGCCACCCATAATTGGGTATGGTCATGAAAAGTTAGCATTCTGCCTGCTGGATGCACTGCTTGCTGTGCCCTAATCCAGCCTGGGAGGTTTACATCTCCAGCTTCTCTGAAGTTCAGTACAGCCACTGAAATGCGAGCAGAAGTGATACATGTCACTTCCTGGCAGAAGCTTTAAAAACCTGAAAGAAGTTTTCAGAGCCTTCAGGGTAGGGGCACATTTTCTCATATTTCTTTCCTGCATCTATGGTGAACATGGAAGTATGTGTCAAGTGAAGACCCCAAAACTCAAGTCCCACCACGCAGCATGAACAGTTACGCTTTCCATGTGTTATTTCTACAGCCTAATCTGCTTAATCCTGAAGTCTGAGCCGAACTAGGACATATGAATATAATGGGAAATTCTCAGTGGAGAAGGAAGTGGGCGCAAACATGTTTGTTTACAAGGGAGCAAAGCTAAGATATTCAATTTGGCTGGAATGCCTGGTGTGCTTGGGCAGCAGCGAGCAATCAGAAGGGAGAGATAGACACCTGCTTTATGAAGTATTCAACAACAAGCCAAGTGCCTAAACTAGACATTGTTCTTCAGCAGGAAGATAAAACCCATATTTTAAAATGATATGCCTGGCAAAGTTATATAGTTTAAAGAGGAAACTACAGATGAGATAGAAGATTATTTATAAGCACTAAGAAGGTACTCAGTGAATGGCCACTAAATAAGTATAAATGGAAATAAAAAGCAATAGAATGAAGAGGAGAAAAGTTGCAGAGAAAATTGACAGAGGCAACAACAGGGACACAGGTAGCATCTACTGCTTTAGATCAAGGTAAACCATCAGTCATCATGGTTCTTAATTTGACTTTCAAGATGTTTTTGTAATGTGATTCCTTCATTTCTTTGGGAGCTAGTTAATGTAAAGTTGCTTCTTGCATTCAATCTTACCTCATTTCTTCTTAAATTATATTGTCTTTGCTGCATATATCAATTAAGAGATTTCTGAAAATACATTATGGTTTTTACTGTTTTTCTAGTAACATCCCAGATGAGAAAATAAATTCACTTCCTAGATGCAGCCTTAATCTTTCATATGAAAGACTAAAAATCTCCTTAGTATGTCAGTCAGAAAAGCTCCAAGATAAATTTCTCATGAGTGACATAAAATGTCTTTCCACTTTTTTTCCTTAGATATCTATAGCTTAAAATTAAGTCAGATATGGTTTGGCATTATATTTGGAAACATATTAAAATTATAACATCATTATTAATTAGCTTGCTTTATCTAAAAGAAATAGTGTGCACTAGGATGTAAGTAGGAACTGATGGATTCTTGTACTCTGTACTCTATAGCAGGGTCAGCAAACTTTTCTGGAAACATTGTAAGAAATATAGGCTTTGAAGACTGGTAAATTCCCCCCTTTGAACTATTTCATTTTGTTACTGTAGCATGAAAGCAACTACAAACACTGGAATAAATGAAAGAACATGGCTGGTTTAAAAGAAGACACTATTTATAAAAACAGGCAGCAGACCAGGTTTGCCAACCCTGACTCTGGATCTTACTATTATTATAGCTTGCTTATCTTAAATAGCTGACCCAGTATGGACCAAAAAGGAGGCCTTCTTGCCAAATTGTGTTAGTCTTATCTATTTTGAGCAACTGAACTAAAATTATCAAGTGTATTTAATATACCAGAACATCTTTGTCGGGTGCTATGGAGATACAGCCAGGGTAAGAATCCAAATGATCAGCCATAGAGATAAAACTAAAATCTCGTACATTTTGAGAGCAATTAAGTACTCAGCTGCACAGTAATGAAAGTAAGTGTAAAAGGATTTGGATACAAAAGAAAATAATGAGGACTAGAGTCCTTGGGGAAGAGTTTATCAAAGATGCAGAGGAGGTGAAACTCGACATGGATCTAAGGATGAAGCTGGAATTGAATTACTTGCTGGGGAAGCGCAGGGAGGCAATCACCATATTGAAGGAAAATCTGAAGAAAAGCCACATAAACTGTACTTGACACTATGGCATAGCTTCTTGCCTAAGGCAGTTTTTCTCAACTAATAGAGCTGTGAGAAATAAAAACAGGTTGGCTGGAGGTGGATAGGCCTAAACATTTTGGTAAGCAGATGGAGATGCCCAGCCTCAATGAGGTAGGCACTGGGGAGACACTGAAATTATTTTTATCAGACCAGTAATAAAAATAGAAGTGTAATTTCTACAGCTTGTAAAACAGTGGTGAGACAGGCTAAAGTCAGGAAAACACCAGGATAGTTGGGGCAATCCAGAGAAGAAGATATCAAGGTTTAGCCTATAGTTGATTATATAGCATAATGAGGATAATGTGGAAAGAATATTTCCATTCCCCCACCCCGCTCCCCAAATTCATGTTAAAATCAAAATCGCATCATCTTTGGAGCTGAGTCCTTTGAAAAGCAACTAAGGACTTGTCATAAGGACTTGCACTCTTACAGGAAGAAGACAGAGAACTACCTAGCTCTTTCCACCACTTGAGGACCCAGCAAAAAAACAAAAAAAAAGTCAGCAATTTGCAATCTGGATGAGAATCTGATACCACCCCAACTCTGTTCTTAGGCTATTTATACCGTTTCCAACCCCCTCCCCAGTATATTGTATTGTTGTTACAGTGATCCAAAACACCTAAAACAGGGGAGAAAGGTTGGATCAGGAAAGCTTTTAAGAGGATGAAGCATCTAGGATGGGTACATAAAATATTCCCTAAAAATCTCAACTTTCAAACCAGGAATACCCAGAGAATTCAGGTGTATTGACAGAAATGCGAAAACTGAAAAAGAAAGTTGTTTTGTTGATGCCTACAGCTTTGTGGGAGGGCGTCAGGTTAATCTATGTCCATTTCCTTAGAATTATTCTACCAGCTTTATGAAATAGGAGACCTCATAGAGGTGAGAATCTTTTGACCCGAATCTTCAGTAGAATAGTTGGGTGCATATGAGCTTATAGCAGAATGAATGCACAACTTTAGGAACAAAATATGGCAATGATGAAAACTTTTCTCTATCTTGGGGTGCGCGCGCGCACACACACACACACACACACACACACACACACACACACACACACACACACACAGCCACTGTGAGGCCCCATACACTAGAACTAGAACTTTCACTGGCCCATTCTTTAAAATGTTGCCTGTATGTTTGTGATGCCAATGAGTGCAGTAAGCAGTAATTAATGACTGAACTTTGTCTCATTAGCCATATAGACTCAGAATTGTGCCTTATTTGGTGCACATCTTCTTTTCAGTCTCTGCTCTAACAATGCACTGGTCTCACAGAAGTGTGGCTCCACTCTGCTTGCCTTTGTTCTTATTTTAACTGTAGAAGTCATGACAACTTCACAGGCCAGCTGGGAACATACACGTAGAGCGTGGTGGGATAGTCAGCAAAGGGGAAAGAAAAAGTTCAAATGCATGAAAATCAAATAATGAGTTACTAGAAATGATTATAAATAATAATGCATTCATTAAGAAGTCAAGATAAAGGCACGTATCGTGGAGTAGTGTAAGCCACCACATGCAATATTAGTATCCTATATGGATACTGGTTCATGTCCTGACTGCTCCATTTCTTATTCAGCTCCCTTCTTATGGCTTGGGAAAGCAGTGGAGGATGGCCGAAGGCTTAGGGCCCCTGCACCCATACCAGAGACCTGGAAAAAGTTCCTTGTTTCTGGCTTTGAACCTGCCCATCTCTGGCTGTTGTGGCTATTTGGGGAGCTAATGAACAGACGGAAATCCTCTCTGTGTGTCTCTCCTAGTCTCTGCAACTCTGCCTTTCAAATAAAAATAAGATAAATCTTTTAAAAACGTTAACATAGAATGAAGAACTGGTAGTTGAATTGTTGGCAAGTGAATTACGAACCCATTTAACAAAAAAACTGTCAAAAATTAATTTAATAAGTTAGTTATCTCCCATAGAACATTAAAGAGGAAAAAAAAATTTATCCTGAAAACAAACAGCAAACTAAACTGTTAGCTAAACTGTCAAAAATTAATTTAATTAGTTAGTTATCTCCCATAGAACATTAAAGAGAAAAAAAAAATTTATCCTGAAAACAAACAGCAAACTAAACTGTTAGCTAAAATAAAAGGCATGCCAGTAAGCTTTTGTTCTAGACCTTTGATGAAAGGAACAGGCGAGCCACACATTTCCTCCTGATAGCCCTCCCTCTGCATACTTACATGGGCATAGCTCAGGAAGAAAAGTTGGTTGTTGGTGAATGAGATACCAGGGAGAAGAGGCTCCTCAACTCCCTGCCTTTTGTCGTCTATCCATTTCCTGTAAGCCTAGTGAGAGAAGTAGAATAGATAAGTCCCCACCAAGATGCTTTCTTCTCTCTCCTCATCTAGTGCACAACTATGAAACAGATCGCACTATCATGTGGGAAATGCACTATATCAACTTTGCTTTGAGGAAAACACCACCTGTGGGCAGGCATTTGGGCCAGCTCTTGAGATGCACACACCCCATAGCAGAGTGCCGGGGTTAGATTCCAGTCTGCTGCTCCTGCTGATGCTCCAGTAATTAAGCCACTGCCATCCACGTGGAAGACCCAGATAAGAGTTCCTGGCTTCCAACTCCAGTCCCAAGGGATTAGTGCTGGCACTTGGGGAGCATGCTGGCAGATGGGGGAACTCATTCATTTATTTTCTTTCTCTCTCTTTCTCTCTCTCTCCCTCCCTCCCTCCCTCTCTCCTTCTCTCCCTCCCTCTCCTATTTACACCCCCTGTTTCTGAAATAAAAAATACTAAAAGGAGAAAAAAAATAAAGAAAGAAAACATCTTGAAGAAATACAAGCTAACATCCTATTGCTTAACTGTGAGGCAGGTACATCTGCAAAAAAATAAAATACCTTACATTCAATGGATAACAAAGCAGATGGGATGGAGTATTCAGATGTTAAATAACTGCTACATTTTTTAAGCTGTTCTTACTACTACCAGGGACAAGTAAATCTAACACAGTGGTAAGACCCCTATGGCAATATATTTTGGTGCCAATATATTATCAAGTTTTGACTTTACCAAGAAAGAAGAAATCCTATCATATTCTATCATTATCATTTCACAAAATAAAAAAATATTTCAATTGAACTACAGCAAAGATATGGCCTGAGAGAAACAGTCAGGCCTTTACACTGAATGCATGTAGCTTTATATAAAAAAAAAACCTTTTCATATTATCTTTATCTTTTTCATTTAACCATGTGCCAGTGGATGACACAAACATTATCATGGACTCCTCTCCCCAGTGTATGTGACCCTTGGCATTTGAAAAGAAAATTAGAAGGTCCACTTTAGAGAGTGCTGTACTCAAAGAAAACTCATACGAATGTAGCCCTCAGGAGATTTCTGTAGCATAATTGGATATACTTGTGAATCTATTTCTGAAATCCATTCTTTAAATATATGATTCCTAATAAGAAATATTATTTTTAGGATGGCTTTGCACCACCCTCCTAAAAGAAAAACAGTGTACCCCTAGTCATATAATAGAGACAATATAAAGCTACAACTCTATTTACAGAAAGGCCATAATAGCTAACTCCTCAAGAGTATGGCTACACTGTAAGCTCATACAGCAGACACAGTATACACACCCTAAATGCTTCCCGTAGGCCTCCATTGTCAGCAATATTTTCTCCCAGGGTCCTCTTCCCTTTCACCTGTCAAAAAGAAGGAAAAAGTGTTTCACGGTCAACTATCATTCACTAAGAGGCATAAATAATATAGCAAGCAAAAGTGCCATATTCTAAGGAGAAAATCACATTCAGTAAATTGGAGGAAGTCATAATATATTATGAGATGGCAAACTAACACAAGGAAGGTGTTTCTGAATATCACAGTCTCCATTTTATTATGCTACACATGCCTTTCTCACCTACCTCTTTATTCTCATCAACTTAGCCATCTCCAATAAAAATGGTAACAATATTCTGAGTGGCTCCAGTTTAACAGGAAAAAACAGAAACATCAATACATACAATACTTTCTCAAATTACCTGACATTATTTGAATATTCTCATTTTGCCTGTGCTTCCAAAAAATGTAGCATCCACACAGGAGTAAGATTTTTGGACTAATCATCATCATTCCACCTTCAGCAATTTCCATGAAAAATTAAAAGGAGAAGAGTTCTCCAGGGAAACAAAAATCAAATCAAAGAAATGCAGACTGCAAGGTCAAGGTTTGCAATATGTATGACAACCAGCCAAGCATGGCGAAGAAAGTCTTCCCAACACTTGAAAAGTCTTTCTTACAATCTTAAATGAGTTAGGGCAAAAACATTCTAAATCAATACAGTCCACAAGCCAAATCCAAGCTACTGCTTGATTCTGTATAAACTGCAAGGTAGGATTCTATTTTATATTTTTAAATGACCAAGGGCAAAAATCCAAGGCATAATATTTTGTGGCATGTGAAAATTGCATAAAACTTAAATTTTAGTACTGATAAATCATGTTTTATTGGCACACTGCCAGGCTCATCCTATGCATACTGTCCGTGGCTACTCTCTTGCTGCTCAGGCAGAGCTGAAAGTTGCAACAGAGAACATATACCTCACAAAGCCTGAATCATTTACTCTTTGCCCCTTTACAGTAAAGTAAGCTGACCCCTGTGTAATAGGCAGAATAACAGCCTCCCAAAGATACCTATTATCTATGGAATCTGTGCCTGTCTTACTTTACAATGTCAAGAGGAACTTTATTCCAGATTTTATACACATAGTCCCAATGTGATTACAAGGACCCTTTAAAAGAGAAAACGGAAAACAGGAGAATAATGCAATGAGAGGAGACTCCATCAGCTACTGCTGATGTTGCAGAAGGGACCACCAGCCAAGGAATCCAGGCAGCCTCTAAAAGCTGGAAAAGTCATGGAAGTACAGGTCCTCCCACCAGAGCCTGCTGAAAGGTACACAGCTCTGCTGATGCTTTGGTTAGGAGGAACTGACACCTCTGTCAAACTTCTCACACACAGACTGCATGGTAACAAAGAAGTGTATCTTCTAGCTACTAAGTTTGTGGTAATTTGCAATAACAACAGGAAACTTAATACAGTGTTTTGTGAATTTTCAAACCATAGATTCTGTGGATTCTTTACCCTGAAACACTCCAAACACCCAGTTATTCACTGATACCAATGGAAAAAAGCACACAAATGTTTGGAAAAGATTTTTCATGTAATCACGAAGGTCCCTACAGTTGCCATTCCTATTTTACATGTATTCTCTTACTACAGTCCTATGAGCTAAGTGGAATTAGCACCATCTTTCTTGAGCAAATAAAGATTTAAAGCTCAGAATGTAAGATGTTACTGGCACCCTGCTGGAACCCTTTTTCTATCTATAACTATGGATCCATTGCTGCAAATTCTACCAGCTCAACATATAGGAGTCCCCTCAGGCAGACACTAATGGGAGGTCACACCCTCCTTCCTTCTATGTCCTCCTGAAACCACAAGTTTTCCTCACTCCCTTACAGAATGCTTCTAAAACTACTTCCTCAGTAAGGGACTGGCGTTGGTAATCCCTTTGGGGGCTCTGCATCTAGCAAACCTAAAGCAAACCCTGCACTTCTTGCACCAGGATTCCCACCTCAGTAGTCTTCTGGCGCCAGAGCCTTGGCTCTCTAATGAGTTACCCTCTCAAGTGGCAGCCCTCCCGATGCTTACACTTCGATCTGCTGCTGCTGCTGGAACTGATTCTCCTTCCTCTTACATGAAGCTTTCTATCCAAATGAGACTCTGGGAGACCATCACCTCCTTGGTTCCTCATATTGTTAATGGTCTCAGTGGAGCGAGGGGGTCTAGGCTGGATCTCTGCGGATGTGACTAGCACTAACTGTTCACTTGTGGGATGCCATGGCTAAGCTCCCCTCACTTGACAGCAAGATTCAGGCTAGCATAGTACCTCCTGAGTGAGGAGAATATGGGTCATCACAGATTTGCCTGCCTATGTCCAGGGCCTTCTAAAGCATCCCTTCTGCTTGTTCTGCTCAGCCCTGCGACACTGAAGCCTCCCCAGTCTGAGAACTACCGTGCTGGGAAGTAGAGAAGGAAACTTCCCAGCCAACTCTGCCCATTGAATTTCCTCTGTCACCATACTACTAAAGGTCCATTTCCCCATTAATAAAACAGAGATAGTGGAATGGAATCACTTCTAGATTCAGTAATCAAATGCTATGATTCAATATTCAAAACCCTATAAAATTCACACCAACAAATCATTGAGTAAAATTAAGAGGATTACAAAAACCCCTAGAACATTTTTTCAGCATCTTTGTGAGAACAATACCATGTTACTGAACTTCTTGCCAGAGCCCGTTGCTAAAACAGATTCATACTTATTTTCATAAACCTGTATCCTTCAGGTTGTTGGAAAATCATGGATGCTTCTTCCATACTAACCATGACGAGTGAATAATGTATTTATTTAAGGTTTAATTATATTCTATGTGCCCCATTATGCAGCCACCTCAGACATATGCAAATGCTAACCTGATTCCCAATTTTGATGGGTTTGGGAAAACTTAAAAACTAAATATATGTGCACATGAGGAAAATTTCTATTCTTTGTAATTAAGTTACTGGCTTACAGGCACATAAAGAAAGAGAAATACATATACAATGAGATCCTACAAACATGTACAGCCCCATAGTCTCTGGTTCAGTTTTTACTAAGGTGAGGGCCCTTGTGAGTATGTCACAAAGGATCTAGAATATTAAGAGCTTTTTATCAAGCCTTTCTGTGTGTAAGAGGCATCAGGCCAGTGCTTCACTTTACTTCAGTGCATTCTTACTCAAACTAATGGGTTCAGAAATATTGACATATTTCATTGAAGAAAATGCTGAAACCCAGGAACCTTAAGTATCATTCCCTAGTTCCTAAAACCAATAAGATGAACCCACCGATACTAGAACCCTTCTATTAGACTTTATGTGAAGCAACATATGAGAGTACTTCAAGTTTATGGAGGGGTAAGCATCTGGCCTAGAAGTCAAGAGACCCATACCCCATATCAGAATGTCTGGGCTTAAGTCCCAGCTTAGCCTGCCATCGCCAGCTTTCCACCAGAGCATATTCTGAGAGGCAGAAGTGAAGGCTCAAGCAATTGGTTTCCTGACCTCCATCGGGCAGACCAGGATTGTGTCCGCAGCCTCTGACTTCAGCCCCAGCTCTAGCAGTCACAAGCGTAGAAGGAGTAGAGCAATGTGAGTCCACATTCCCACGTACGTTCTCACTTGCTCATGTGGCCTCTCTCTCAAATAAGTAAAATCATTTAAAAGCTTGTGAGAAAATGACGTTAAAAGATAACCTGATTGTGGTGCAAAGATGTTTAAAACCCATACTGTTTTCCATAACAGGCATTTCCATGAGCTTTTTTGAAGACCCTTCACATAATTTTTCAATGTAATAATCCATAAACTCAACACTGATTCACAGAAAAGGGACTTCACAAAAGGTCCATGTTGGGTTTGCTCATGTCACCACTGGAGATATTTAAAAATACATGGGTAGAAAATTGTTTTTGCAGAGCACCTTTCGGGAGCTAGAGAGAGCATTCAAGGCCAGGGACTCGTGCTACTCCATTTGGATGAGCTATGTGTAGGAACCAGAAGAACCAAGGCAGCATTTATGCCTTTTAAAAACACCTGTTGATTTTTACCTAATTTCTCATAAAATAGGGAAACAAACACCATGTATAATAGACCTGAGGCAAAGCAAGGAGTAGGATGTCTTCCTACCCCAGGCAAAGGATTGTTGTCCACAATTTAAACTGAATTTAAATTTTTCAATGAAAAAGTAATGATTCATTTTTTAGATGTATTTTTTTTAAAAGAGTTATAGAAAGGGAGAGAGAAGGAGAGAGAAAATATACCTGATTCACTCCCCAGATGGCCCAGCAGTCAGGACTAGGCCAGGCCAAAGCCAGGAGCTTCTTCCAGGTCTCCCACATGGGTAGTAGAGACCCCAGTGTTTTGGCTGCTTTCCCTAGACTCATGAGCAGGGAACTGGATTGGAAGTGGAGACGATGAGACCATAATGGGTCCCCCAATGAACGCTGGCATCACATGCCACAGGCAGAAGCTTTATCTCCATAATGCCAATCCCAATAATTCACTTTTAAAATAAGCAAAAGATCTGAGTAAATAATTCTCAAAAAATGCAAATAGAGTTTGGTAGGGGGAAGGAATCACAGTCTCTCTGAAATTGTACCATAAAATTCAAAATAAAAATAAAAAAATACAAATAGTAAATCATTATGCATAAAAACTTGTTGGGCCCGGTGCAGTAGCCTAGTAGCTAAAGGTCCTCACTTTGCATGTACCGGGATCCCATATGGGTGCTGGTTCTAATTCTGGCAGCCCCACTACCCATCCAGCTCCCTGCTTGTGGCCTGGGAAAGCAAAGGATGAAAGAAAGCCTTGGGACCCTGCACCCACATGAGAGACCTGGAAGAAGCTCCAAGCTCCTGGCTTTGGATCAACTCAGCACCAGCCATTGTAGTCACTTGGGGAGTGAATCATCAGATGGAAGATCTTCCTCTCTGTCTCTCCTCCATTCTGCATATCTGATTTTCCATTTTAAAAAAAGTAAAAAAAAAAAAAATCTTAAAAAAAAAAAAACTTCTTAGTATCTCTAGTTATCAGAGAAATGCAAATCGAAACCACAATGAGTTATCACCTCACCACAAATTTATCAGAATCAATCAGGCGCCTGCATTGTGGCACAGCAGGTTACTGACAGCATCCCAAACGGGCACAAGTCTATGTCTAAGGCTCCACTTCCTATACAGCTCTCTGCCAATGGAAATCAGTAGAAAATACCCAAAGCTTATGGGCCCCTGCACGCATGTGGAAGAAGCTTCTGGTTCCTGGTTTCAGATCAGGCCAACCCCCACACTTGTGGTCATCTGTGGACTGAACCAGAACATAAAATAGCTCTTTCTCTGTAAGTCTGAATTTCAAATAATTTTTAAAAAGAAATAACAAATGCTGCTGAGAAAACAGAGAAAAGAGAACTATATATGAACTGGGAGGAATGTAAATTAGTACAGCCATCTTAGAGAACGATACAGAGGTTTCTCAAAAAACAAATAAATAAATCTACCATATGACCCAGCATCTGTGTATCTTTGAAGGAAATGATATCAGCCTGTAAAAGAGAGATCTTCGCTTCCATGCTCACTAAAAGCACTATTCTCAATAGCCAAGATATGAAATATACCTAGATGTACATCAAGAATTGAATAGATAATGTGGTATATGTACACAATGGGATATTCATCCATAAAATAGAATTAAATCCGTTTACAGCAAAATTAATGAAATTGGAGGATATTATGTTGAGAGAAGTCAGTCATACAGAGAAAAAAATATATATGATTTTCTTTGCCTTATATGGAACATAAAATTAAGTCAATGTGAATGTAAAATAGTGAATACTAGAAACTGGGAGAGATGGGAAAGTGGGAAATAGAGAAAGGCTGCATAATGGGTACCAAATGCTCGGATACAAGGAATAATTTCTAATGTTCCACAGCACAATATGGTGACTACAGCTCACAAGAACTTTCCATATGTTTAATGAACAACTAGCAAAGGGCTAAAAATCTCCAAAGATAAAGATATGGCAAAGAAATGGAAATATTAACTACTTTGTTGTGATCAGTACATGCTGTAAGCATCAGCTAAACTATCACATTGTATTTCATCAATATGTATAATTACAGTATGCTGATATAATAGAGATAAATTACAATTTGTATGTCTAGCAAGTTCCCTGGGAAGGCAGATACTGTTGATTTCAGGGGGACACTTTGGAAACCAATGGTTTAAAGCAAGCTAATGCCCAAACAAAGAAAAATGACCCACAAGATATTCCTTTAACCAGTTGTACTCACATTCAAACCAGCTTTCTTCCAATAATAGTTGCTATATTGGTTAATCATGCACTTTGTTTTTTCTTTGAACTTTTCTTCTGAGTCCACAGACCACCAAGGATCTAGGTTTCCATTTTTATCATACTTTCTCCCTAGCAAGACAAGAAAGTTAAAAGATATTTGTGTTATTTGAAAACTAAAGTCTTCATCTTTCCTTCCCCTCACCTTGACAAGCCTTCAAAAAGCAGTCACAACAGCGAGAAACCTCTTCCTGAATCTAGCTGCTGCGTTCTCTCCATTGTCACAGGTTAATTGCACAAAGGGAAGAAAGGAGAAAGGCTGAAGAAGTTCTTTCCTTCTAAGGAACAACACATTTTTGGAATGAAATTCATCCATTTATGGCATGCACTAATCCTATCTAACCTTGGGTTTTCTCCTCATCTGACCCCAAGTGTTCTCTCATTTGTGAAATAAAATGGCTTTCATTCAAAAAGTCCTTGGAGGGAGTGACAGCACCATTATCAGTGAAATTCCAAATGATCCAAAGGAATAGCCCTGGTGAGTCATCCACACAGTGCGACCACAGACCCTGACTCAGCCCGATAGGAATCTGTTTCTTCCAAGTTGCCAGGAACTGAGGAACACATAAAACTTCTGTTATGAATCATTCCACAGCCCTCGATGTGGATGAAGACCCATCTGTCCTGCTTAGTCAAGGAAGATGGCTCAGAAAGAGAACTTACAACAAGAATGGAAATCTCCAAAACATAAAGGAAAAACATTTAGTAATACACACCTCCTTGCCACAAGGATTCTCTATACCCTTCACAACAGAATTTGCATTTATCTAGTTTCTGTGTTCAAATTTTCTACTGGAGCCAAAAAGCACAATTTAAATTTAATTATGCAGAACTCATTATTGAGCTGATAAGAAAAATCTCCTAAGAGCCAGCTTGTGTCCCAGTTGCTCCACTTCCTATCCAGCTCCCTGCTTGTGGCAGTAGAGCATGGCTCAAGGTCTTGGTATCCTGCACCCATGTGGGAGACCTGGAAGAGGCTCCTGGCTCCAAATCAGCTCAGCTCCAGCCATTGTGGCCATTTGGAAAGTGAACCAATTATTGGAAGATCTGTGTGTGTGTGTGTGTGTGTGTGTGTGTGTGTGTGTGTGTGTAAATCTGCCTTTCCAATAAAAATAAATAAATCTCAAAGAAAAAAAAAAGGAAAGAAAATCTCCTAAGCAAAGGCAATAACTGAAACCCCTAAAGGCTTAGCAAAGCTGCCTGCTACTGCCAACACTCTCTGAGATAATATGGAATCACTCTTTTCCACCAGCAACAATCGTTACTTGGTCACTGGGCACCTACTTACAGGTGCAATGTAGTCTTCTAGATACTGATTACAGGCTGAAATTGCCATCATTAGATTCCATCCTTTAACAGGAAATCCAGAAGTTTTCCAAACTGTACTGGGAGAGAACTGAACCTAAATTTCCCAGGAAGAAAATTCCAGAGTCATAAGGCCACTACCACCATCTTGTGTTGTTTTGCTAAGACTCTCCCCTCTGATGCACCAAATAGCCAAAGGCATAAAGTCAAGCTCTACTACAAGGCAGGTACATTTCAACAGGGAAGGGGAAGCCAAAGACACAAAATACACAGGTGTTTAAAGAAGGGCTGATGGGAGCTCAGGAAGAATCATCCAGAGAGAGGCTCTCTGGGCCTTGAATAAGCATCCCAGAAAGGATGTAGGAGACACTGCAGGTAGGCAGGGAAGCAAACGGTTACCTTTTACACTGTGTTGCCTTCGGCCCTCTGGGTTCCTGAATCTGCCTGTCAATCACTGTGTGTTTGTGAATAACATAGTAATTTTCTGCTAATTCTGAAGTTTCTGAGATTTCTTGAGGCTTTCCAATAGTGTTCCAAAGTTAAGGGAGGAAACAGTGCTGATTAAGAATGATGAGTACATAGAATTTTTAACTAAATGTTTAACATTTGTTCCCGATGATGTGCCCTCTCAAAGGTAATCATTTCTTTATGCCGTGATCTCCTCTTTCCTTTTCCTTAAATGTCATTAAGATGCACCATGTATTCTTCATTATACACTAAGAAAGCATAGTATTTAAAAACATTCTGAATATATGCCAGTATAAAGGAAAATGGAGGTTAAGTATTGCATAATTGGTAAGATTGTGTAAAGGAGCCATTCATCCAGGTGCCGGCAGCCTGACTTGGCAGCTCAGCGCACCCAATCATCATGAGGGCAGAGTTCACATATCCTGGGAGAACATCTCAAGATGGTGAGTAAAACAATGACAAAGGGGGAGCTGTAGACTAATTCCTGCAACTGCTATGGCAGCTACAGCAGTCCCCATCTAAACGCAAAGGAAATTGCAACACAATGACAAGAGGTTTTTTTTTTCATTCTGCTCCATTCAATTGGTTATTGATTGCAAACTATCACAGGAAGACACTGGGAAAAGTTTTCAATCAGCAATCATATTGCCTTGTATAATCTTCACTCTGATGATGTCGCTATAAAAAGATAATAACAACTAACAGTATGTAATCATTATTATAAAAGCAGCAAAATGAGGTAATACTTACCATTATTATCAAATCCATGTGTAAATTCATGTCCAACAATTACTCCTATAGCACCATAACTCAGAGATCTGTGGTGTAAGCACATAATTGGGAGAAAATTACAAGCATGAATATCAGAGCAAAATCTTTCATTTGTTTTTTAGTGAAAAGCCAAGTTAATTTGTTTTCTAGTGGTCATAGTAGTAACAATCTCACATGTAGACTCATAAAACCAGAAAAACTACTCGAAACATACCCTTCTAACTTGTAAGGAAAAAGAAAATATAAATTCTAACATTCTAACAGTGTCATTATTACCATGTCCTACCCTGTGTAACTGGAGTTGTGAAAGAAATGATTTCCGAGGTCCCTTCCAATGCTCAGATTAGTATGATTCTGTATCTTTTCTAGCTATCTATATTTTATGTTACGAACACCTAAACTATGCCTTGAAAGGATCCTGTCTGTAAATATAGCATTTATTTTTTATCTGAAAACTTGGTAAAAAGTTGCTCTAATCCTAGAAGTTAAGTCATTTGCAAGATGTAGTCATAAACAAGGCATGAAGCAGAGATTAAAAAGGGATCACTCTGGTTCCAAAGGTAGTCACATTCTCCCATATCGGCGTAGACAAGCTGACAACTGAATAGCAAAGGCTCTGAAGCCTTAATCAGATTTGTGAAAGGTGTTATATTATTCCTCTTCACCTCTGAAGAAGCATGTGGCAGATTATCTACCGAGGAGCCCATCAACAATTCCACCCAGGTTTAAATGCACATGCACCCTTCTCCCAACAAAAGGCAATATATAGTCCTTGCTCTTGAACCTGCACTGCCCTTGGGACAGGCTGTGAGTGGCTGAATGTGACTCCTGGCTCTAGACTATAACAGACTGGATAGCTCCCATTTCCTATGTTCTTGAAAGTCAGCTGTAATGCAAGTAGTTTGACTACCCAAGATGGAAGGAAAGAGGCCAAGTAAAGTTAGTGAGAGATCCCAAAAGTTGAGGAACTCTGAAGGAAGTGAGGGGCCCTGCCAGACTTCATTCATGAAAGCCAACCTAATAATTTAATCCAAAGATTCTCCAGCCTAGTGGAGCTGCTCTGACCAACTCCAAACTAAGCCAAGACAAGTATATATTAGCTCCATCCTGCCCCAGTGGCACATTAAGGAGTCAATAAATGGTTGTTTGTCATTTGGTGGTGTTTCGTTAGGCAGCAAAAGACAACTGAAACAAAACCTATTAATATGAAGAAATCGATAGTGGGACTTGCATTTGTGTATTCTGGGATTTCCCCCCTCAACTACTAAGTTCCATAAAGGCCAAACTCATATGCATACATTCATGGCAGAATCCTCTGTCCGTGGTACACAGGTATTAATGGATTAATTACCTTTACCATTCCATGTAAGTGACAGTTCTACTTGTAACTCATTTAACCTGTGGATAAGGCTCACAACCTAAAGTCCTTTTTAGGAAGATTCTTGAGATCTGCAATTACTCCAAAAATACTTCCCAGTTGGTTCTGATTTGCAACATCAAAGTCACTCAGCAAATGGATAAACCCATAACTGGAAGGAACGGAAATTTTTGAAGCAACATGTTATTACAGGACATAATGATCCTTAACATGCTAATTGTTTGTCTCAACTCTACCCAAGGAAGTGCTGTAAGATTTAATTTTTCCCCTTGGTGGCAATTCTTTCCTTTCTTATTTCTTTCCTGCAAGGTAATTTGCATTTGAAAAAATGCTTCCTACTGTTTTTCCATCATTGCAAACCTTCATTAAAGAAGTAAAATTATGTATTTCGATCATAGAACTATCATAGCAGTGTGGAACAAACTTGTAATTTTACATAGTGCTAATTTTTGCAGCAGTAGCTCTCATTGTACAGCTTGAAACATTGAGATTTTCCAACTCTCAGTCCTGAGAATAAACACTCAATCCTCTACAATCCTCAGTCAAGGCTGTTGACTGGATGAATTTAAGGATGAACAATGGATGCTTATAGAAACCACTCTGCAATAAATGTGCCCTCAGAGGAACTGCTCCAACAAGCTTCCTATTTGCAAAATGGTAATAGAGAGCTCAGGAAGTGACTGAATCCTTGTAAGTTTCAATTCTCAGTTACATAATCACAATCTTTTGGATGAGAGACAAAGTAATTTCACATGGCTAAGTCTTAGATTGACAATGTTTCATAGTATTAATATTCTCATTCTCCATCTGATCGATGGGTATTTCTTAAATTAACATGCCATTTAAAGAAAATGAACTTGTGTGATTTTTAAAATTCAATAGGCTGATCACTTCTTGGCCTTTTGGTTAAGATCAAGTGTAAAATTCAACAGGCTGGTCAGAAGCTGGCAGGCTTCCTACATTGAAGATTTAACCTTCTAAAAATAAAGGGTGATCATCATACTACATACTCATTTTCTCTTTTGTTCGTACTATCAGCAGGGTTTACCCTATGCACAGGAGTCATTGTCAGGAAGTAAACAACTCTTGCTCAGTCTGGCCTAACCATGATCTCACACTGTTATCAAACACGGACTACCCTAATTTTGAATCTTAAACTCCAAGGGATCTAAGTGTTGTAAGTTGCTTTAAAGTCACCTAGTTCCAGTCCTCACTAGTAGCTTGCATACCCTTTATCAGAACCCACTTAAAAGGTCATGAGACTGCTGCTTGGCTATTTTCAATGAGCAGTAGTTCAGCCTTGTCTGAGGGAGCCCTTTCTCTCTTTGCCTAACGTGAATCTGAAATTGCTTCTCCGAGTCTCCTATCTATTGGCTGAGTGCATTCTCTAGTCAAGCAGCTTCTGATCCTGGAAAATAGTAAATCATCCTGCCACCTCAACTTTCCCTCAAAAACATGACAGCAGTCGTGAAACTCCCTCTGCAAAATTCCCAAGTTCCTCCCACTCTTATTCTTCGGTTACAAACTCTAGACAAGCATGTCCCCCAAACAGACGGAAACTAGGAATTCAGTCATCTCTGCATTGTATATGAATGGGTTTCTTTCCAACAGAACTTCTCGGGTACACGTAGTCTGACAAGTACTCCAAAACACAGAGGCAACAAGAACGATTTACCTCTGTTACTATTTCACAAAACACGCACTTGAGGTAAGGTTGTCTTTGCCTGTTTTCAATCCTCATTCTCTCCTCTGGAAACAATTCAGCAGGTTCAGGTCTCCAAAATTAGACCAGACACTCAGGTCGGGGCTAAGATGATGAGTGTGAGCAGAAAGAGTCCCCTGGCTGTGGGGGCTACCCATCAATTAATATAAATGAATAGGTGGGAAGAAATCTTAATAGAGCTGGATTCTCATGTCTCCAGCATCCCTCTATTTCCAACGCCAAGCACCAAATGATAAGAGCTACTCATTGAATGTATATCTTAGCATAGGTTGCATGGCTTTGGTGAGGACACAGAACTCTGATTTTAAAAAAAAAAACCCACACCTCTCTCCTTCATTCAAGTTTATCAACTGGGGCTCATCTTACATAAATCAGATACTAACAATTCTTAAGTTTTGCAATTTTGGCTTTTATGACAGAGAATCATGATCATGGACTTAATAAATACACTGCATCAATAACTTCAAAATCTCACCAGACTACATCCATGTTTCAGGCTGCATAACTACAGGAAGTTCAGTTACATTGATAATCATAAGCAGAATCTAAGAATTCTGTTTTCTTTCAGTCTAAAGAGAGTTTAGAGAATATTTAGCATAATCTTTCAATTGTTTTTAAAGATTTATTTGAAAGGCAGAGTTACAGAGACACTCAGAGAGCAAGAATGAGAGAGAAAGAAGTCTCCCATCCATTGATTCATTCCCCAAACGACCACAGTGGTCCAAGCTGGGCCAGGTCAAAGTCAGAAGCTTCATTTGGGCTTCCCATATGGGTACAGGGGCCCAAGCCCTTGAGCCATTTTTCATTGCTTTCCTAGGCATATTAGCAGGGAGCTGGATTGGAAGTGGGGCAGCTGGCATTCAAACCAAAGCCTATATGGGATGTTGGAACTGCAGGCATTGGCTTAACCCACTGTACTACAATGCCAACCATATGTAATATTTCTAATCCTACAAATAAGGGAAATCAATTCCAAAGTAAAAACCAAGAAAATGTATGCATGTGAGGTCTGCGATGCTATTAATGGATTTGGTTAAATACAATTCTAGAATTTTTCACTTATTTCTGATAATGGGTAATTCACTGCAATAGGCTTTATTGATGCCTGCCAACATCCCCTTCACTTACATTTTGAATCACACCAATCTGACAGCTTCCAACTGTAAGCCACTGAGAGTACTTGCAAATGACACTCTCAGCCTAGGATGGGCACCCCCACGGGGCTAATACAGTCAGTAGCAGCCCTCAACCAATGATGGAGTTGATTTGGAAGACAAACATACCAGCTCCATTGGCCTGGAGGTGGGATCACTCTGAAATATGTTCTATAGTCTCCCCGCCATCTGCCCTTGGTGGTAACTGATGTTCTAATACTTTGTGGTAGGAATAGCTGCCTCCCAAATATGTCCATGTGGTAATCACTGAAGCCTGTGAATATGGTGTTATACAGCAAAGGGAATGAAGGTTGGAAATGGAATTAAGTTTGTTAACCAACTGATTTGATAATAAAGCAGATGATCCAGGAGGGAGGGCAAATCTCAACAGTCTTTTAAAGGAGAAAAGCAGGAAATGAGACTCAGAGGGAGACACAATACAGAACTTTGACGGTGGAGTCAGGGAGGGCAGGACACTAGGAATGTGGGCATTCTCCAGAAACTGGAAAGGCCAGGGGACAGTCCTCCTGTAGCTCCCAGAAAGGAGTGCAAGCCCTGTGACAGCTGAACTTCACCATAGTGAAACCCAACTGGAATTGAATACTGAAAACTATATGCTGATACATTTATGCAATTTTAATCCAATATATGTTTCATACTTTAATTTAGAAGCCATAGAAGATTTCAAGAACACAGTTCATCAGCATCCTTTATGTGTCATTTCCACACTCTCCTACTGGTATCACATCCCAGAAAAACTGCCTGAACTTGAATCCTTCTCATGGGAACTGTTTCTGGAGAAGTCCAAATCAAAATCATGTCACTGTATTTCTCTTACACATACATGTGCATGGCATCATATATTTTTAACCTACGCAATAGAAATATTATTCAACCAATAGAAATGGTTCAACTTCTAAAGTGAAGAGCAAATTTCCCATGCATGAAAGCAGCAGAGTACACAAAGATATACACAATCAAAGCAGTGACATTACTGGGCAGGAATAGTGGCATAACAGGTTAAGCCACCATCTACAATGCCAGTATCATGTAGGCATTCCAGTTCATGGCCCAGATGTTCCACCTCCAAGCTAGCTCCCTGCTAATGGCCTAGGAAAAGCAGTGGGAAATGTCCCAAATACTTGGTCCCTGGCTCCCAATTTCAGCCTGGCCCAGCCTTGGCCATTGCAGCCATTTGGGGAATGAACCAGTAGACGGACTATCCTTTTCTCTCTCTCCCTCTCCATCTTTCTTAGTCACTATGACTCTAAAATGGATAAAACAATGTTTTTAAAAAGTAGTAACATTACTGACAATGAAAATTATCAGAATCCCCACCTACACACAGAAATTATCAAGTATACAAGGGCACTTTTAAAAGTTCCTCTAAAATTGAATTAAAGGTTCACTTTATTTTCAGGCAGAGCTTTTTGAAATTCATGTTGTGTGTTTTCACACTACGTATTTTCCATGAACTTTTTGAAGAAATCTCATATGAGCTTACAATCTATAGCTATTAGGGACCTTTACATTTGTATCCCTGAGATCATATACTGCCAATTTTTCCCATTTTACAGCTTCACAGGCTATATTCCTAAAGACAAATCAATCACCTTGTTCAAAATCTTCCGTGTTTTCAATTTCCTATTATCTTTCAGGCTCCTTATATGGCATTCAAAGCCCTCCAATTTCAAACCTCATTCTTTCAACAGATTTCTGCTACATGCTCTGCCATTTAGGCCAAATTGGACTCTGTCATTCCATAAACACTTTTCCTTTCCTTTCTCTTGTTTTTCTCCAACTGGGAAAGTTTTCAACCTATTACTATCAACTCAAATCTCAACAATCCTCCAAGATCTAAATATTCAGGGGATGAATCAATTAGTAATATAAATGCCTGGAAAGGAAAATGGTCAATGTTTAAGTTAGCCTTCCTGCCCAGTCATATGCCCTGGTAAGGAGGTTGAGACAACAATGGTGAGGGTGGGAACAGTCAGTGCCAGCCAGCTTCCATGCCCTTTTTTAAAAATTAAAAAAAAAAAAAAAACTTTGTTTGTTTGACTTTACATTGTGTTCTCTACCAAAGCAAAATGTTCTGCCCTCCTACCTTGTCAATAACTGGTTTCTTTACTGATTTACTCACCGAGGATATTCTGTTCCCCAAAAGAAAGGCTTCTGAAGCTCCCCTGCTGGAAACCCTGGGAGAAACACAAACAAAAACACATTAAAGAAGAATTGAAAGTGGATTCAGCCATGAGGACCTGGCTCCCAGGGACAGCCTGGAGGTTTCAAACACGCACCGGAAAGGCACCCCTTGTGGAGCAGGTACCTTCTGAGGGAGCCCACTGTCTCAAGGATTTTACTTGAGCGGATTTGCAATTTAGTGCATGAAACCATTTCAAGGAAACCATTCTGCACAGATGCATGATTGACAGGGTTTGCTTTGCTGTGACCTGGGTTCCTTCTGGAACAGTGTGAGCATCCTGCTTCTGGCAATCCAGCACTTTTTCCTGACATGAAGCAGCACAGGTATGTGGGTTTATGACCTTGTGCAGCCACAGGGGACCTGTGCAAAGAAGGGTTTTATCCTTAGTTTGTTTAATGCTCTGCCATCACCATCTAGAAATTCCTAATAATTTTTTCTTTGAACTTGTGGTTTATAAATGGAGTTTGTGGGGACAGCAGAGCATCATTTGAGTGGGAGAGTCATACACAGTCAGTGAGTGGGGATCTTCCGTGCCCCCGCTCTCACCCAGCATTCACACGGTCCCAAGGTGCACAGGATTCTGGCCAACCCACACAAGTAGGAGTTCAGAAAACTTCAAACCAAACATAGGAAGCTTATTCCATCCAGAACTGAGTTATAAGCAGGACTGTTAGCCCAAAGATGCCACACTTCACACTTGAACCAGCAATGGCTCTGATCACAGAACAAAGTCATGGCTTTCTGACAATACCATGACCAAGGAATCCAGGCACTTTCATTCTTTCTCCTGTTATTTCTCTGTATTGGCCAACCACTTAGACTGAAAAGGACAAAGCCATGGAAGAAAAGGGGGAAAGAGAGGGCGATCCACACTTACTTGTCCTTCCTTCCTTCCCTTACTCATCAGTGATTAGAGGTATATAAGTATCAGTAGAATGGGTGTGTATCAAAAAGCACTGGTAAGAACAAAATATGTACGGACTTCCAAAAGTTCATGGAAAATGAAATTAAAAGATCAGTTTCTTTTGGTTGCTCCCCAAATTTTGAAACCTATGCATTGTTTTTCAATATATGTGTTTTGCATGAGCTTTTAAATATATCTAGTAGGTATCGTTTGCAAAATTTTTTGAACTAAAATAAATGCTTCTTAGAATTTCATTTGTTCATGAGTTTTTTGATGCACTAAACACATACGGTGGTACAAACTATAAAATATCAATAGTGTCATTTCAGTGATTCCACATACCAGTTAAAATGTCCTCATGTTTGCATTTTTAAAAAAGCACTGTGCAATATAAACATGAAGGCTACAATATGTGCTAATGTTTTAAAATGTTAGCTTATCTTGTAATAGCACTAAAAAGCAACTAAAGGAGAGAACATTTTATGTAGCAGTTAAATGTTACTCAGGATATAAACAGCCCATAGGAGAGTGCCTGGTTGGAGTCCTGGCTCCACTCTTCACTGCTACCTGTTTCCTGTTAATGTCCCTCCTGGGAAGCATCAAGGAATGGCTCAAGGTTTTGAGCCCCTTCCACCATATGGGAGATCTAGAATGACTTCCAGTTACTCACTTTGGCTTGGCCCAGCCCATGATGCTGCTGGCTTTTAGGCGATGAACTAACAGATAGGTTATCACTTCCCCTTTTCTTTCAAATAAAATGAGCAAAAACTAAATGGCAAATAAAAATGCTTAGGACAAACTGAAAGTGTCACCAAGGAAGGCAGTGCGCTGCTTGCTGGTTGAGCACATCCAGTGGCATGCTGTTCCTGCCTTCTGAACCACAGTCCTGAATTTATGTGGCTGCTCATGGGAATTTGGTGAGTAGGAGAAATACTTTGCTTTTCTGTTGCAACTCACTACTGAATTTTATACCCTTGGAGCTGCACTTTTGATTAATCATAACTGGGAATAGAAAGAAAGGGAATAGAGAGAGCAAGAACCAGAGGGAGAGTAAGAGACAATGTCCTCGCCTGGTCCAGAACAACAGCTCTAGCCTCCATAAGACTTAAAGCTCTTTTCCAATTTTAGTATTCCTCCTCCAGTTCTCTCCCAAATTTTTTTCCACCTCCCCTCAAGGCCAGGGCATTAACCAGGGAAATGAGGACAGGAAATAAATTTCTTAATTTAGAAGTGAAATACTGATTCTACCAAACTCATGTAAATTCTTTACATCTCAGTAATATTATTATAGCTTGAGATGTTAAGGTACAAAACCTAATTGAAAAACAGAGATGCACTGAGCCAGCAGTTTCTTTTCCTGCTGTTTTCACATAAAGGAAAAGGCATCTAAAATGACTGAATTTGAAAGGACAAAGCCATACCAATTTTCATTTCTTCATTTTTTTCAACACTATTAGATCAAAATTTTAGTATCAACATTCCATCCTTTTTTGGTTATTACTTACCTTTAGTTATTCTGATTTGGAGATATAGATTATATAAATATGCAAATATGTTATATATAAATGTAAAACAGTGTTTATATGAAAATCTGATATATTACAATAAATCAGAAAATTAATGAAATTTCTTAAGATCAATGATCAGAAACAATGTGATTTAATTATTAAATTGTTACGGCTTTCCTATCTTGTAATGTGCCAGTCAGAAAGTTATATCCTAGGGCCTGGTACAGTGGCCTAGTGGCTAAAGTCCACCTTGAACATGCTGGGATCCCATATGGGCTCTGGTTCTAATCCCTGAGGCCCCACTTCCCATCTAGCTCCCTGCTTGTGGCCTGGGGCCTGAGGACAGCCCAAAACCTTGGGACCCTGCACCCACATGGGAGATCTGGAGGAGGTTCCTGGCTCCTGGCTTCGGATTGGCGCAGCAGCAGCTGTTGCGGTCACTTGGGGAGTGAATTACTGTACGCAAGATCTTCCTCTCTATATATCTGACTTTGCAACAAAAAATAAATAAATCTTTTTTTAAAAAAAGAAAGTTATATCCTTATAGGAAAAAATTTGACACCTTCATGAGCCTCTATAATTGTCTTGGTGTTGCGGGGGTTGGGAGTGTCGCAGAATCAGGTGCTAAAAGCCATCACAATATCTTATTCAGCTGAATCTGTTGTTTATTAGGCCATGGAATTCATTCTGATAAACAGAAGAATCTGATGCCCTCAGGCTTGTTCTGCTGAACTGAATGGATTAAAAGTGTAAGCCACATTTTTGGAGATGTGACTACCTACACTGATAAATGAAATCCCAACAAAATCAACTCAATATCTTATCTCATAAAATGGATAAGTTGTGTTTAGCAAAGGTGCAAGTAGAAAATAAGTGGGAAAGGAGTTCTTCTCACCCTTTTAAAAAGGTTTTTCTTCTGTTTCCTTGCATGTCCATTTCTCTTTTTCCCTATTTAAGCACTACTCCACCATCTGTTTCACATTTACAAAGCTGCTTTTGCTATTAGGATATTTAGGAGAGGTATTCCTTAAATGCAACTATGGACACACACCCCTCCCCCTAACACACACACACACACCCACACACACACACGAGGGAAGAGAGGGAAGAAGAGGAAAGAAAGAGGGATATTGATTTAGTTGGCAGAAAAAAATGTAACAAATTTAATGATTGCTAATATTGGCCAGCACACATTTTTGCAAGTTTAAATATTTTTAAAACATGAGCAAAATTAAGGTGGAAAACACTAAGATATTAAACAAAAAGTGGAAAAGATTCAATTCGGTGCATAGAATCCTTCTAAATAACTATCTCGTCAGTCTATGTGTGTGTACATGTACTTACACATGTGTATATACATACATAGAAAAGGTCTGTAAAATGCATATCATAGTGACTACAGTATGGGAAATTTTAGAGATTTAGAATATTGGGTGATGGAGGATCAAAAGTGATTTGGACATAAATGTAAGGTCAAGTTTTAATTTCTCAAAGATAATCAACTTATCTGACTATGATTCGAAATAAATGCACTGCTATGTGTGTGTATGTGTTACAGAAAATTCTTCCAAAGGCTATCTAAACACTGTTAAAGATTATACAGCATTATCTCGCTCTTACATTTGTCAACACTGGCAAATTCTATTCCTCTATTTTAAACAAAACAACAGATGATTATGCTTACATAATCTCAGTGGCTTAAAATTCTGACAAAATATAAGCATCTATATGCTGTAGCATCATTATTATTTACTATTAATAATTTTTTTAAATCTGCACCTAGGAAAATCACTAGGTCCTGCTTCTGATTTTCCACTTGGGTCAGCCTTTCTATTTTACTGGAATTTCTCATTATAACTCTCCTATTGGTACATATTGTCTGAGTGTTTTTGTTACGAATGCGAATGCCAAAGAACTGATTACATTCAGTAGGTTATTACTCCAGGTTCAACTATTTGACTTTCCAAGTCACTAAACCATGTCCTGAGTTCAGCAACAGCTTTTCAGGGAAAGTTGAATGCTTCATTATGTCTGGGCTCCAGTATCCATTCTGTTATTGTGAAACTGTATCAATTAAATCTTTAGCTCAGGAAAGCGTAGAGAAAAAAAAAAAAGAGCCACTAATCCACAGTTCAAACCTCAAGAAAGTAAACAAATACACCCAGGCCTAACAAAGTCATGTGGTATGGAGGCATTTAAAAGAGAGGAGAAATAACTTCCTTTTTCTCTCCATACATATGGAGATATTTTAAAAAGAGATAGGATTGATAGCTTCTCTTTCTCTTCACTCATATTTTCACTAGAACTTCCTTTCCATCAGTACCTGCACAGCTTGCTTCAACCATTTACTTAAATGTCTCCTGTTCAGAAGGGCTGCCCATAGTACCTTAAGGGGGTAGAGTATTATCATTTGCACTTCGTTGTTTTGTCATTCATAATATTTCCACCAAGTATGATAGTCTGCATTTTGCTAATTTTGTGTAATTGTCTTTTCCCAACTAGAATGCAAAGTCCATAATAAAAGAGTTTTATTTTACTTAATTTTACTATTCCTCCATTGTGGTATCTGAGGAGCTGTAG